AGAATGGGAGAACAGCGTTGGATCTAGCCAGCCACTTTAAGCATGAGGGATGTGTGCAGTTGCTGGTGGATCACGAGAGTGCGAAGGTATGTTGAATAGACTTGACTGTGAGTGACTGAATTTCGTTGCAGCGTGTCGTACATTTGATTGGTTGAACTATGCAGTGACTAGGTGTCACGTGAGTCACGTGAGGTGCACCTACCACCACCATGTCCTACATTTGTACAGCTGTCTATGAGATCAAGATTACATAAACACGAGAGTGTGTAACTCCACTTGGTCTGGCCATGGCGGAATGTTTCGTTTTGTTGACTTTTCTGGAGATGATGAGTCATACCGTACGAGGCATGTACTACGAGTCTGTGGGCGCGTGAGCTTGTACAGTTTTCATTAGGGGTCGTCCAAAAGAGGTTGCACGGGCCGTTGGTGTGTGAGCGGCATTGATTGCACTGCGAAAGAAACGATCGACTCTGTACGAGCTCTAGACTTTTGTACAGATTACAGGACGCGCTCGATGCGTCTTGAGAAAGGCGTGCAGTGATGTGCTGAATGCAGCGCTGCTCAAGTGGGACAAAAACAAAGCTGGTGATCGTCAAACGCCTCTTTTCGCAACGTTGTACAACGATGTTTTGAGGATGATCCCCTCCAGATTCGAATCGCGAATTGGTGGACTTGAAGATTTTTTCTGCAAAGTCTCAGCAACATCCATGGACCAAAGAAGCCAAGCTCTGGCTAGCAGAGCCTGGATGGATTTTTGCAAAGTATTCTTGCGACGGTGCAATTCCTGTTCCAACAGGAAACAGTGGGAGTGATCAAGTCATTGCCAGTCCAGTTCGGAGCGGACTGACATTCCGCCCGACGCGGAGGTGCCAGTACCTGTTGTCAGTGAGCAGCCAAAACATGATGAAGAACAGCATATGCTCCAATAAAAATGGGGGGGGGGGAGGGGATGAATGTAGCAATCGCCTAAACTATATCCTATTCTGTGCACCAAGCGCTAAATTTGGTGCCGGCCGGCTTTTGTAGGGTATCACTGCATTTGATCAACCAGACGCCAAGTGCATGTGATAATTGGGACCATTTGCAAGCCGTGAAACGGCAAGACGAATTAGGAAACTGTGTTAGAATCCCATCGTGACCACGCGAAGCACACTGGTGTTTGATGAGTTCGGAGGGGTCTACTCGTCATGCCCGCATCGAGTGGGTTTTTTTTTAATCCAGTGCGTGCGATTTCAACGAGGATACGGAGAAAGTGCAGTAAATTGCGCCTCTTTTTGTGACTTTTCTCAAATTTCCAAATGTTTTATGCACTCCTGTTGGAATAAAGTATGATGGTGAATATACTGTGTACGACGGCAAGGCACATTCTCACTAGACAAGTGACGTTTGCTAATACTTGGTCCGCCAAGTTACAATTGGCGCTTATCTTCGCACTTGATTTTTCGGTGTTCTGCCTGCGTCATACCGCATGGAACCACCGATTCACCATCCGAACATAACCATAGACCATTGCATCCGACAATATGGCAGCACAAACCACCACAGAAGTTGTAATCAGTTCGTTTGAATCTTTTTGACTGGAGCTGCCACCGACGAATACTTCCGTCACCGCAATAAAAGGCTGCAACCTCCGCTCCAGTCCGTAAAACAGGTCAGGATGTTCACAATTCAGAGCGATGGCGAATACAGTTTTTGCCTACTTCCAGCTGTCTGGTGGCAAGGATGGTTTTCCGCGGGGAGGCATAGAAAAGCTGAAAAAGCGCATCGCTAGCTTGAATTTGAATACTCGCACTGTACAGCGCCTAGTGAAGCGTTCTCACCAGCAAATCACCGACGAAGACACTACAGATCATATCGACATCTCCAGAATGCGAGACCAATCCGGCAGACACACTCTGAAGGTCACAGAGGACTTGGCAAAGGAGCTGATCAAAATAAACACCAACTCCTGAGGGAAACTCTCGTGCAAACAACTTGCAGGAATCTCGCAGAAAAGAGCTACGCCTGCTCCAGAGTCAGTGCAACACTGGTGCAAAACGTTAGGTGCAGTACGCACATGTGCTACATCAAGCAGAAGCTATCACTGCACTACAAGCACCAGCGGCTTGCGTGGGTGGTGATCAGCAAGTACGACAAGCGCAAGAGGCGATTTGAAAACTGGCAGTGATGTGGTGTTGCCTTTTTGCCTCAAACAAAGGCATTTATTGCGACGAACGGGGATAACACATACAGCCACCACACGGGTACTCTCACTCAGCTTCTGAGCGGCAAGATGACAGGCACGACAGGTGACTGCCTTTGAGCGTGATTCGAGACGAGGAGAAGTGGAACAAGCTATGAAACGAGCAGCATCTGTCTGGATTGAATGTTTTGAGCTCTTCCTCCAGCGACGATAGTGGTGAGGAGGATGTGTAACTTGCTAGGATTTTCGGCTGAGTTGCTTTCTGTCGTGTAAAGTATCATATACGTAGCGTTTTCTGATCGTGGCATGCTTCGAATATTTGTATTTTCGTTTTGAGACAAGAGTGAAGATAAGTGGCAATTTTAACTTGGCGGACAAAGTACTTCCTCCGTTAACAAAAACTTGGTGACGGATTTTGATCGATACGAAAACGCTTAGAATAGGTCAAGAACACAGTTTGTATCGCCTGCAAATCACTGGACGAAGGTAGTTCAGCCTATGTACAGCATCTGTACAAGAGAAACTGTTGGCAGAATGAGCAGATAGTTCAGTTTGCGTCGCTTTTGCTCGACTCATTTTTGACCCTGGTTCGCTGCCGTCATCTGCTGCGCGCGAGTCGTCATCTCGTTTGAGTCGTTGTTCAGCTCGTTTCAGCCTTGCCTCGGCTTCTTTGATCACACTTGGCTGAACTTGATGTCGCCGTCGTTGAAGTAAGTGTGCTTTCAAGCTGCGTGATCCGCCGCGGTGGTGATTACTCGTTTCCACCAGGGAGTCGTAAAAATATTTTACGACTCCCTGGTTTCATCTTCGCTCTCCAGAACTCCGCGAAACGAGGAGTAAAGGACTACTAAAGGCACAGCCAAACTGATTCCATTTTCTGTGATTGATACCCTGCCAGCACTGAACGGCAGCGGCTAGCAAGTCCAGTCGACTTTCTTTAGCCACGAGACTTGCGTCGGACTGCAGACTTCTGAAAGAATGCACGGTCATCAGCGTTAATCTGGGCTTTGCGCAGGTTGAACAAGAACCTGAGTTCAGAATTATTTCATTGAGCCGTGCGATCGGAGCACCGCCTTGTTCACTCGCTCATTGTGTGGGCTCGCTGCCCTGTTCCATCGCTCTCAAACTCAGTGCTAGAGTAGTAGAGAGGCCAAGCAGCGTATTACCCCCTCGGAGAAGTGATATTTCATTTTCCCTCACCATTACTGTCCTCACCTATGTTGCCACAGCTCAACTATCGATTCCGCTCGCTTGTTGTGAAAGGTCGCTTTCCTTGCATCGTACCTTTTTCATGGCATGCCAGGGAAGGCCAAGAAAGTGATTGCGACTCATTCCACAGCAGTTTGTGTGCAAACCAGTCTCTGAAAAATCCATCACGAAGTTTTTGTTAACGGAGGAAGTAGGCCATTCACACGACGTGCAAACTCAAATTTATCGTACCGTTTCCAAGGATATTTACTCGCATACGATAAACTTGGACACACGCTTGCAACTAATTTTTGAACTTGGCCTGGGCCCTTGTGCTC